GAAATTAAGATCTTAAGTGCTCTCTGAGCTTGGTGGTTTTCTCACAGACATTTCATTACCAAACTAGGTAACATCATCAGTGCATGGAGGTAATGAAATCTGCACGAAAACAACCAAGCTCAGAGAGCACCAAGGATCCCACAGCTCAACCCTGAACCATAAATATTTTCTTCTATCAACCCTGAAGCTGGCCTGGATGTGGCCATTTTCTTTTCTCTAGTTTTTCTGTAGGGATTTTCTTCACATGGCTTCAGGCTTGACACTGGAGCTTAGGGCCAGGGAAGGGGGTGTAGAGACAACAGATAACAGATAATCAGAGTTGGAAAGGATCTTGTAGGTCATCTAGTCCAATCCCCCACCCAAGCGGGAGATCCTACACCATTTCTAACAAATGGCAGTCCAATCTCTTCTTGAAAGTCTCAAGTGATGGCGCTCCCACAACTTCCGAGGGCAAGCTGTTCCATTGATTGATTGTTCTCCCTGTCAGAAAGTTTCTCCTTATTTCCAGGTTGAATCTCTCCTTATTCAGTTTCCATCCATTATTCCTTGTCTGGCCTTCAGGTGCTTTGGAAAATAGCTTGATCCCTTCCTCTCTGTGGCAGCATCTCAAATATTGGAACACAGCTATCATGTCTCCCCTGGTCCTTCTCTTCACTAGACTAGCCGGGTCCAGTTCCTGCAACCATTCTTCTATGTTTTAGTTTCCAATCCCCTAATCATCCTCTTCTCTGTACTTTTTCTAGAGCCTCAACATCTTTTTTACAGTGTGGACTGGATGCAGTACTCTAGGTGTGGTCTTACTAATAGAGTGATATTAGTACTTCACTTGATCTCGATTGTATCCCTCTGTCAATGCAACTTAGGATTGCATTGGCTTTTTTGGCGGCTGCCAAAACTGAGGTGATGTAGCCAAAATAAAATTCTTTCCCCTGGGAACCAAGGATGTTGCCACAGGTTTTTGGAAAGTAGAGATTGAAGACAACCAACCAGTAGAGTGTGTTCTGATTGGATCAGGTGACTAATGATTGTGGGGTGGGGTTCTTACTTTTACTTTTAATTGGGTGTAAAACCAATGGGAAAGTAGAGTCGGTTTTCCACCAATATGATAGGTCGCAATAAAATGTTCTTTAAGGAATATGCCTGCCTCAAAGTTCTCTTTGTTGGGGATGTATTACTTGGAACCTTGACAAAATCCTAAATACAGTTGCAGTTTCACTTATTAACTGCTTCACTTAATGACCAAGTTACCAGTCCTGACTGCGGTAGGTAAACAAGGACCGCCTCTCTCATTGCCTGGCTCTGTTCACAGCCTGCTTGGTAACAAAACTTAAATCTACGAGCTTAAACTCAATTAATGACCTAGAAGATTAGCTTGACATTTTAATCGCTTGCAAGGCCCGAACTCATTTTCAGCCTGCCGGGTGGGAGTAAGTTTGAGAGCAGAGGGAAGTGGGTTGCATTCATTTTGCTTATTTTACGGGTGGGAAAAAAAATCGGTAAAACTTATGCCACCGAAGATGAATGCTGCTGCGTTGGTAGCCTGATTGGGAAGAGGTTTTTTTTTTTTCCCCCTGGGGTGCAAATGGGGTGTAATTAGCCATAGATCGCATTCAAGGGCACCGATTGTAACAGTGTAATGTAATGATATCAAAATACAGAAGTGGAGGGCACAGGAGCTATAGATGGCTGTCAAGGAAGCTGTTTCTATTATTGAACGGCTCTTACTATCCAGAAAAGTCTTCTAAAGATCAGTCGGAGGCCCTTATTTGACCTTCGAGCTCATTAGCTTCAAAGTCGTGTTCTCTGTATTAAGAACTGTTGTTTTTTTTCCCCATTCTCCTGTGTGACAGTTGCTCACTTAAACTGATGATGATTGTAACATTGCAATCGAAGAGAATATTAGTAGGTCAGAGTTGAACTGTGGGGTCCGTTGGTGTGCTCAGAGCTTGGTTGTTTTCTTGCAGATGTTTCATTATTACTAAACTAAGGTAACATCATCAGTGCATACATGAAGTTAGGTGGGTTGTAATGTGCTTCCCTCTTCAGTGGGTCAAACATTCATAAGACTTCTTATGTTCTCTATTACATTATGTGGAGAAAGAGAGACAGAGGGAAAGAAAGAAAGAAAGAAAGAAAGAAAGAAAGAAAGAAAGAAAGAAAGAAAGAAAGAAAGAAAGAAAGAAAGAAAGAAAGAAAGA